CTACCTTAACCCTCTGTTCACAGACTGCAGGCCTCAGCATGACTACCTTAACCCTCTGTTCACAGACTGCAGGCCTCAGCATGACTACCTTAACCCTCTGTTCACAGACTGCAGGCCTCAGCATGACTACCGTAACCCTCTGTGCACAGAACACAGGCCTCAGCATGACTACTTTAACCCTCTGTTCACAGACTGCAGGCCTCAGCTTTACTATCATTAACCCTCTGTGCACAGAACATAGACCTCAGCATGACTACCTTAACCCTCTGTGCACAGACGGCAGGCCTCAGCATGACTACCTTAACCCTCTGTGCACAGAACACAGGCCCCAATGTGTATCGATGTGTATACATCTACATCTATCTATATATCTAACAGTTAACACATAGAAGCTCAGACCCTGCAGGTCCAGGTGACCAGTACTCAGAAAGTTAACTCTGAGCGCGTGTTTATTTGTGTGATTCTGTGATCTACGCTGACCGCCACATCTTACACCCATCTCCAAAATGGAGCACTCTCGGATCTTTATAACCAAAAAACCCTCTCAAAATCAAGGGTTATTATGCTATCAAGCTGCTGCTTCTTAGTCTTTTTTTCTCTAGCTGCATTTGCAAAAACAAAACTAGGCAACGCATTGACCACCAAATCTAAAAATGACAAAACATTTTCTCGCTGTCCGGCGATCTAGCTGAATGAGCCACTTCAGAACAACAGTTCAAGGCTTCCTTCACCCACAGCCTGTTGTACCGCAGTTTGCCTCAAAACTACGGGCAACATTTGTATCATCATAACCTTGCTCAGTCCTACACACTTGTCTCATATTATGCATGCACACACACACACACACACACAAACACACACACATACACAACTTGGATGCAAAAATTCAGTAACAATACTAACAAAAATATTATCTAGGTCAGCATCATAACAAATCATACGCGTAAAACATGTAAATCACCAAGGTGAATGTCTTTGACCTTTTCACCCTAAATACAAAACTAGAATCTAAAAACTGACAAGTTGTGGGCAGTCATCGCACGGACAATATATCTTGTACACAATACATATATATAATATTTATATGTATAATATATATATATCTATATACATACCTATAGGTGAAAACGTGCATATCTAAGAATCATTGCTTCGGTTGTATGAAGGGCAAGTAAGAAAGTGAGGTGGAGGAGAAGCAGGAGGAGGGAGAGGAGGAGGAGGAGAAGCAGGGAAAGGAGGGAGAAAAGGAGGAGGAGGAGAGGAAAGAGGAGGAGGAGGAGGAGGAGAGGAAAGAGGAGGAGAAGGAGATGAAGGAGGCC